TATATATATATATATATATACTGTATAATATACTGAACACGGCAACATGTCAGAGCATGATTCTTTCAAACACTATTTACATTTTCATGCAAAACACACTATGGTGCATGTTTAGATTCATCGTCAGCTGTACAAATATTTAGGAGAAAAGTCCTAAACATGACATTAGGCACGTCCCAGCATCCGCGCACGTTCTGCTTCTAAATCTTTTACCTCTGGCTTCCTACAGAATGAACTATGGGGACATGGCTACTTCTTGATTTGGCAGCAGTTAAATGCCTATAGAAATTCTAGTATAATGCAGACAATTACCATCTCCACAGCAGTGAGGTACAGGGACATAAATACAATACTTAGTTTATAACCACAATGTTCATGTGATAAACAGGTAGTAAAATGTATGGGTAACAATTCATCATTCATTGGCTGCATTTAGTTGTATGCCTTAAAAGGGTAACATAACTGTAATATGCAAGGAGAGAATGAAAAGCTATTATTTATAAGAAAAGGTCTCATTTAGAGAGGCTGAGGGGCGTTAAAATCATGGGGTTGTTCTGCAGTTTTACCGCTCCCCAGCCACCCGCTGCATTGGTAGAAAAGCAGTTGGGCAGTGCTGAACGCAATGCCACGCACACAGTGCTTTGCTTCATGGCAAAAATTATACAGACTGATGCGTTTGGCAGGGAATACCACCTGCCAAATGTAACTATAAAGGTGACTAGGACCATGCCGCAACTGTGTGCCAAACACTTGCCATGTGGCCATGGCTTCTATACGTGTGTGGCGGCTTTAGATCGTGTAGTGACATCTCTCTTCTGCTGACATCTGATGGCTCCAGGCAATAAGCAAATCAGCAGATACGACATGTTTATTTGAATATTGAGATTCTTATGTTATCTGGTAACATGGTACAGCATGTGTATTGCCTACTTTGATATTCTTTATTTACCTTTTCAAATTTAAGTTCTGGCAAGAGTATGACATCAGAGGGAGTATTGTGACTGGTTGATTGAACTCTGTCATATGTACATATAACACGTTTAGAGTATTGTAAGGGTTGTCACTTTGTTTGCCTGGTAACGGAACCGTGCCTGGTTCTGAAACGTTGCCACACATGGTGATACCGCTTAAATGCCAATAAAGAAGATTTAACATTGTTACATTTTGGAGCGCCAGTGACTTCTTCATTTTTGTTCGAGATTGTATGCAGCGCTATCCGGATTCATTGTTGCACCCACCCAACAATTGGGATTTTGTTTCTGGTCAGGAGTGCGATGGGATATGGACAGTATTGGTCAAAAGGTTTGTCTGCTTTTGCCATGGAAAGAGTTCTGTCTGTCTCTGACTTGTCCATGTCTTGGATTATCCCTGTGTATTTTTTGGATTGTGTTTGTCCTCAGCTAGTCTGTGGTTGTCCTAATTATCGACCTGTTATTCCTGCTATTGTCCTTCACTCCATTCTGTTAAACTGTCTGGATTCTGGACACCGTTTGTCTCTGCCTGACCTGACCATCAATCTGCTGACTCTGATACTGTTCGTTATTTGTTCTGAACATCTGTCTGAGGGCTAATACTGATCTAGCAACTGTCCTGCCTTTAGTCAGCAAGACAGATGACCTACTGAATTCTGTGACACAGATTGGGCCTATTAGGTTTAGATTAGATGAGGGTTTAATGTCACTTTAAGGCAAAATTTGTTTGACTGAAACCTTCAAATGAGAAGCGATAAGTTGTCCTTCTCTCTCATTTAGATTGAGCTATTGAGTTCTGTTAACAACTGCCTACTTTCTGCACAGGCACATGTATATTCCCATACAATATGCCATATTTTAACTGACTAATAAAAAATATTTTTTTGTCCTGCCCATAATACATAAAAAAAGAAATGTGTATAAAAACAGTACAAACTCCCTCTAAGGAACCGTTATGATTCCTACCTTTGTGTGTATATATATGAACACAAAATATCAATCAATAATAACAGTAGCATACATAACTATATTTTACCTTTGATAAGGAAAGCTTCAGTAAAAAGGCGCAGCTTATACAGAGGCTCATCGTCCAATGACATGTTTTCAAAACCAGCTCGGGCGTACATGCTTACAGCGTCCCGATAAGATCCCTCCACATAATGGAGCTTTCCCAGAATCAACAGAGCTTCTGTTAGGTAATGTGGCTGTGGAAACAAACAATAATATATCATAATAATACTGAAGAATAAATGATACAGTAGA